CTCAGGTATTTAATTCCCAACTTAATCCAAGCGTTCAATCGACGAGAACAATCATTATCACTTTATGTTGTCTTTCTTTCTCTCCTCTTGGTCTCTTTAACTGGGAATGAGTTATTTGATCGAAATGTGAAGTTTTTCACTAGGGTAACAGATATCCAGATAAAAATTGAGATAACATGTCACACCATCAGTAGTATCGTTCAAAACATCGCTGTCAAATATGTTCCAGTCTGTAAATTGTAGCACTTCCCTTATATTAGGTATGTTACTATGTGAATAGTTTCTGTGTACACCTTTCTTGTATTGGAAAGCTACTTTGTGTAGTTTGCCATATATTTTGGGTAAAACACGTATAATGCAATCATCTGAGATGAGGAATTGTTCTCTCTCCCCAGTTTCATATATATATATATATATATATATATATATATATATATATATATATATATATAAGTGTCACTGACGCCTATCAAGTTCACTTTTGCACCTTGACGTGCTGTAAAGCTAACAAGACTGTAATGACCAAGAGTTTTGAAAAAGTTTTGGTCACAAGAACTGAATCATCACGTGTGGGTACAACGTGGCTTAGTGGGGTGGAGGTACATTCAGGTGACAAGTCCCAAATAGGACGAAACGTGCATCCTAGATTCCTCTACTACGCGCAACCAAGTAAATTACCACAAATCGCTTTATTCTAGACAACATGTGTTATATTGTATGGGAATCGCAGCATGTATATTTCAACAGACTCACTCTCCGTGCAATACTTTTAAACGAAATAATTAATGCACTTGAATAATGTTAATAATGAAAATCATAAACGCAATAATCCGAAACAGGCGGCGAGTACTACTTTAATGTCTGGTCCGGATTGGTGAATAAATAGAAAATCGAGAATGATGTTGGTGGTGGTAGTTCATTCAACCCGTACAAAAATCTACAACTGAACAAAGGTGTTTTAGGAAGAGTAATATGCTGTATTTTCACTCATTTACAAGTTTACTCCCTACCAGCGTAACGTTATCTTTTGGCTTTTTTGTTAGCTTGAGAAACGACAGTTTGAAAACACTAAAAGTGTGCGAGGATACATGATACATTTGAAACATATACTTAAGAGATCAAAGCAAATTGAAGAGGGAGAATTTGATGAAATATATTTGGTAGAAAATGCTTTTGGTTAAGGCCAGCTGCCACTATGATTTAAGCTAAGGATACAAATAAGATACCAATTTGTTCCCATTTTAAATTTAACTGGTATGGTGGGTGACACTTACGAATTTACGGATATATGGCTTCCCATGAAGCATTTAACTTACTCTTACATTATTCCGTAATCAAAAACTGATTCAACTTCTGTATTCAGCAACTAGCTTTTAGCATGTCATCTAGTAGAATAACTATAATCACTTTATTTCAGACAATTTTCAATACATTACTGAGTTCTCAGTGTGGTGTTTCCACAAATCTATTCCTTGTACAGTATTTTCAAAGCAAATGAATAACAATGTTAAGTAATATTAATAATAACACTGCGATAAGCGATCATACACAACGAGCAGTTGTTTTTTTAGGCTTTCATCTAGTTTCTTGGTATGTTGTTGTATGCAGTTTCGAATAGTAAAGCATTTGAAGGGTGGGCAGTGGAAGATTTTTTAGCCGGCATAAGAGTTTACAGTTCCTGCTGACTATCCCTGTAATAGTTATGGGATGAACTATTGTGAACTCAAGAGCCCACTGACATTTACTGTGATATTTTATTAGCAGTTTTGTTATTAACTTGTGCGGTGATAAGTTGAAGACATTTTGAGAATGCACCAGAGTACGCTTTGATATTTGTTGACACTTGGATAATTAGAATAAGCTCAAAAGGAGTAAACTGATGTAATACAAGTTGGAAACGTTTTGGGAGCCTATATTATAAGCCGGCTGCCAAGTAATCTTTATACCACTGTCGAAGGTGATAAATCTTTTGCCTATCTTATGCATAGTTAAAACGTAAAAGTGTCCATCAGGTCAAATGGATACTAATTTTTTTGAGTGAAAACCTCAAAAATTTTGAATGAAACAGTCTTCGATGAAATATCCTTTGTCTACTTGAGATTTGCAGTTTGTAACCTAAGTAGAAACTAAACTCAATCGGCTGAGAAAGTAACTACAAAATGAATATAATATATAATATAGAATAGATCATTATTTCTAATTAAAGTATGATGCATTACAACTGCATAACCACAATTTAGACAGAAGGTGAGGGCAGACAAATATTTTCCATTCAGTTAATTTGATATTTCTGCTTTTTAAAATGCCTTAACAACAAGTGAAGTAAGATAAAATGGTTCCGTACTATTTCACTGGTATCTTATCAACTACATACAGCATGGGGTAACAAAAGGTGTAGTTTTACCAATAATTTAATAAACTTTAATTTAGTGTTATTGCTTGTATTATACCGTCGTTGATTGGACCGAATTGAACAGTATCTGTTGGCATATGGGCTCCTATGCGGATGCCTCGATATTGCCTGTCTTTTAACTATGTTTAGTAATGATGGACAGTGGCTAGCAGTGGAATCCAGGATGCGTATTTCGTCCTATTCGAGACTCGTCAGCTGGATGTGCCTGCTTCCTAGTGAGTGATGTTATTCTCACCAGGACTCGGACTCGGCAGCTATCGCTTCAAACGCCAGCGCGTTTTCCACTACACCACCGAGCCACGATAGCCACTTCTTGTGCGACGGGTATAGGTTTCATTAAAAAGTAACTGAATATCGGGCAGTAGTTACGGTGGACCGAACGAATCATAGTGTAAACGTCAACCATAACAGAATATTCACAGAGAGTTAACAAGCAGTCATAGTTATATACATAATCCAGTGGAAGGTTTTCGAATAAAATGACGACAAGAGAAGTGTTCAGAATTGAAAATAATGTATGAAGGTCACACCATAAATGAGCAAACTGTTGTGAGTTATCATTTTGACTATCTGTGATGCATTAGGTTTGGCAGACTATTATTTTTACTGGGTGATGATTGAAGGTGAAATGGAACGCTGGATCACGATCGGATTCGAACCAGCCCAGTTAGATAAAAATATTGGATATTAACAAACGTTGTTGCAAATTAATAAGAGCGATGGTACAGGTATTTGGGGTTGATTAACAATGTTATACTCAAATAACAGTCAGGAAAGGTTACTAAGGTAGACAAACAACAAACTGTTTTGGGAACAAAATATAGTCTGAGGCATTTGTTGGCTATGTCTTCGGCGAACCTCATGAAGAGTGAGCTCAGTTGTTTGTTAATGACCATTGAAGGAATTGACGGCATAAGCCAAATGTTCAGTTTCAATGAGATGATAAAAGATTGCAGCGTCCAACCTTTTCCATCCCCTCAGTCGTAGTTTATTCAGAAAATATTAACAAAATCTATGATAAACCTTCATTCCTGTTCTTCCAGTGCACTTGTTTTGGTAGCTGAACACTAACTGAAGTTCGCAGTTGGTGCCTATAATTGATTCTTATAATTCAATATTGCCCAGGAAACTACAACATAATTTGTTATCATTCTGTGAAAAAATTACATTTCGTAAGGCAAAAATAACATCTGATAGGCAGAGATTTCTTGATTTCAACCAAACTTAAGTAAGTCTTACGAATCTAGTGTATTGACTTAATCAGAACTTTTTGATGACGCCAGCGATACTATGGCTTGTGGAACCAATTCTGTAATTTTAGACATTGGCCAGACTCATCACATTTAGCTTTTTACAAGGGCTTCTCTGGTGATCCTCTTATTGGATAACAACTAACTTTGTTATTTCGTGTGCCAAGATTCTTGGGGCCATCATTGTACACTCTTTACTTTAAACAAATTAGACTAATTCCATCTGGCGTTTGTGGAGATTCGTTAATTGACTTCAGGTTGGAATTCATCATGGACTGACATCAGTTGGAGAAACATTGAGGACCTGCAAGTACTGAACAGCTGTTTCGTCAAAATATGGGACTCCTTAGCAGTGCGCACCAATGACCCCACTACAGATCGAACACAGGACTTTCAAGTTCCATGGCCAGCACGTTATCATTGAGCCACTGGGTCGGAATCTAACGGTCAGTATTCCCTACTCCTGTCAGTTTTTGACACAACACAACCTCCACTTTTCCTCCAACCGATGTCAGTCAGTGACAAATTCCAACCTGAAATTAGATTTAATTAAAAATAAAGTTTTATTTTGGGTATTATCAGTCCAGGGGTTTGGGATACTCGAGTTGCCTATTTATGAGCTTTATGTTTGAACCTATAAGCCAGAAGTTTCAAAGGATTATTTAAAATCAGCTAACTGTCTCAGTACATGAAAGCTCAATGAATCCCTCAGTACTGTAAGCTGGAGGGATATTGCATATGCTTTCTTTTAGTAGCACAAAATAAATGAATCAATTGGGGTAGAAAACAAAATATTTATGCGAAAAAATAATTCAACATTACATGGTTTGCTGAAAATCAGGGATAACATTTTTTTCTCCATTAAAATGTGATTAGTTTGATTTCTAGCCTAAATTAAAGAAAAGCTTATGTCATAAATTAATAATTATTGAAAATCATACAGCGAATATAAGTAATAATGATAATAATAATAACAATAATTTGGTTCCACCAATCACACGTTGCTTATTTGGGTCGCCTCGTCTGATTGGTTACATTTATTTCAAGAAATGAAAATAAAATCTCTAATAATCACTATATGAATTTCTGGTCTGGGAATGACAAAATATTCAAAGTGGAATAAACTCAAGATATAAGCATTAATTATTATTATTATCATTACTTACCGTATCAGCATATTAATGATTATGATGGTAGCGCAGAGGATGATGGTGTTATTTTTCATAAGAATTGACGATGAAAACATAGTGAAATAAATTAAAATTTTCAAAACATTTTGAGAATAGTTAACGATTGCATTTAAAACACAGTTTGGAATCAAACACATAAAATTCATAATGAATAATACTACTGACAGTAGTAGTAATACTACAATAACCTATTCATATTTTGAATTTCATTCACGTTTTGGATGGGAACGGCTTTGGATAACAACAATTATACTCGGTTTATTTATCTTGTGTACAATTGTTGGAAATGTTTTTGTTGTGGCTGCTATTTTACTTGAGAAACATTTACAAGTAAGTCAATGATTATTTTCATTTTGTTTTCTCCGTAAAACATTGATTTATCTTTTTTTGCAAGACAGTAAAATACGTATTCACGATGACAAACATGGTTTACCTGATGGTGGTTAACAGTGGAATCCATTATATGTGTGTCGTCCTATTACTGACTGGTCAGCTGGATTCATCTGTACACCAGTGAGTGACGATTTTACCCTTGCCTTTCTACGAACCATGAAAGCCAAGAACAATAGACAGGTCTTACTAACCTCTATAATATGCTTATACTTTTAATGAATATCGGAAACCATGAGGTCAAACATTATCTACACTATCTGTCATCTATTTTTATCATTTTTATCTGAGACGAGTGAACAGACCATTTTTGCGTTTCCGTTTGCTTAACACTTTTGCCACTTACTAGACATAGGATTTCACTTTTGCATGTTATGGCAGAATTTTGTTGGAATTATCGTACCAGTAGGCACAATGTCTCACATAATTATAAAAGAGATAAAAAGGCGAAAATACCATGGTTGGTGTTTAGTGTGAATATTTGACTAAAATATATTCATGTTTTACCGAATAACTTATCTTTTACCTGTCAAATAACAAAGTGGAATCTAAGGTGTAATTATCAAGATTTCTAGCTTGTTTTTATCCTTACCAAGATGTTGAGAACACGGATTAATTACTTATATTAAGAGAATAGAAGGAGGTAGATTTGACCGTATTCAAAGGAAATTTATGTTCTAACCTACGTATTACCAACCTATGACAATATCTTACATTCCATTTACATTATTTTCTTGCCAGCCTTCCAGAAATAGAGTAACTGCCTACTTACTTTCTAGTCTGTGCTTATGCTCAACACAGATAAATACTATGTGTGTTCTGTGAAATATTATATCAAAAAATGCATCATGTACCTCTTGTACATTTCATAACTGAGTTAATAAGTTTGGATGGCACATACACCGTTTATAATCTAGAAGTCAGTGAATAACACCCATCTAACAATATGATATCACCAGCTTTAAGATGAGTTTGTTATTATATATGGTGCCTATGGATCTCTGTTGTAGTTCTTACTACAAAAAACTGAGTTTTAATTTCGGGGATGTCACTTTCTAAAATACTGGCCAGCATTGAGCTAGGTAAGCGAATAAAATTAGTATTTGACAAAATTCTCATGAAAATCTTACATAAAACGATACTGGTTCCTAAACAGTGAGATCAGATTGAGCAGCGATTTTTGAATATAGACTGGCTACAAAATTCATACTTAGAATTCAGTTTTGTGATAAAGTCCTTGACCAGTGTTATGTTGGGGAAAATAAATATTCTTTTTTCACCATTTTGAGACAAGTCTCTCTCGAATTAGGTCGGTTTGATTTGAAGAATTATCTATTTTCAGGAGAGTATTTCAAAGGAATAACTAGAAAATATAACCTTTATCTTTCATGTAGCTCTATGTACTACATCTTAAGAAAGCATAACTTTCATTTGGAAAAATCACTCAGTAACCTTGTGTCATATCTATTGTTCGAAGGATCAAGACACTACCCGGCTACCTATACCTTGTTAAGTGGATATGGGTTCCAACCCGTTACCCATCAGATGAAAGTTGAGTGACTAGTCTGATGAGTCAAAGCCTCAATGTTATTTATCTTTATTTCAAAAACTAGCAGGTTTATTCATCCCCGTTAAACACTTGGTAGATCACCTTCATGAAACTATAATAAGTGAAAAGAAATCTTGTATCTACTACCATATATCAAGTGTCTTTTATAGTCATTTAGTGATCACACAGCAAAAATGCTTTAATAGGTTTATCGCTTTTGAGATGTAGCGTGGTGAAGCAGAGTGATTGATGAACCAAATTACTATATGATGGCATTTCATTTGTTTTATATTCCACGTATAATGACAATGATTTTTCTACCAGAAAATCTACAAGTTTAGCGTTGATGTAAATATTATAGGTCCTAACCAATTTAAGACATATGCTTAATATTTGTGATGATAGCAAATGTAAACAAATAAACAAGTCTTGGGGTAGTATTCATCACGGACTGACAACCTTTGGAGGATCTTTGGAAAGGAGGGAGCACTGGATAGCTGTTTCATCTTAGTATAAGACGCCTCAGCATTAGGCACCCACAATGTGGTTACATATTGAACTAAAGACCTTTACGGTTTTATGGCGAACGCGTTAACCATTCAGTCAATGGGTTAGGTAGTCACTGACAGGCATCGTTTGTTCCTTTTGATAACTAGTCTTAGACACTACGTCAGATGACTGAATTCATGGGAATGAATAAAAAATTGATGTGATTACTGTCTTATTTAATTCATAAAGTACTCCAATCTCATGGATTACATAATATTTACTTGGTCATAAAAGGGTTAGTTAGGAAAATTTCATTCATTTGTGGACAAATTTGTCCAGCTGACAATTCCAAAATTGGATGAAACGCGTCCCTTATATTCCACTGCTAGCCACAACCAAATCAATTATAACAGATAAGCTAGCCGTTGATAATAACAATTAACCTGACATAAGTTTAAAGCCTTTGCGGTTGTTTATATGTTTGTGTCTGTTTCTGAACATTTCGATAAATCTTTGGAGAAAATCCACTTTTGCCTTTTTTTATTTCCGGTTCAAATTAAAATGAATTTGATGACCATCGCATAGCTGACATCAGATTAAGTTGGCTTGTTAAAAACGATTACTTGGCCTTATTTAAATACTGATCATATGAAATCACATCACAAATTCATATTCTTCTGAATAATTAATTCGGTATTCCTAAAGAAATTCTAAGGTGAAAGATGCAAAACTCACAAAATGAGGAGTATTATTGATTGGATAGCGGCCATTAATGAGATCCTGCCCAACACATGTTCCGTTCCATCCCGGACTAGTCGGATGGATACATCTGCCTCCCAGTGAGCGATGTTGTTCCTACTCGGACTCGAACTCGGGACTAATCGTTCTAATTGCCATAGAGCTACCCTTCAGACAATTGAGCCATGATAGACACTACTTGTGCAGCAGGTATAATACAAGCAACAACATTAGTTGTGAAGTATGCGCGATTTAATTGTATTGTCATATTACTAAAACTACAGTTTCATTCAAAAGACTGGATATTTAGAATTTGGCAAGCACTTATCACCTGCTTACTAAACAGTTAATTCCTTTCTTACTGATGACAGCTGTCTTAAATTCATTCAAGGTATCATGGATTTCTTTAGTTAAACTGAAAATCGATCAAGGCTGAATTTGTCAGTCATATTTCATCTCTTTTATTTGTTTATTTCAATTTCGATTCCTTGAGAAACTCAAGATATATGTGACTGAGGAATTTCATGAAATGTACGAAAAATTCCACTTACTAATGCTTGACTCATACCGGAAAATTCACTGAATTTTCTTATAAATGCCAAATGACTGAAACTAAAATTCATATTTTCAAAAGCATTTATGCTAAGGGGGGCAAATACTTATATAAATGCATTACTTTCATGACTGAGACTAACTGATATCAAAAGGTCTGAAGTGTTGTTCAATATCTTATTTCTGCATCAAATTCAGCCGAGTTGTAGCAAATTTTTAACGTTCAACCAATGAATCGGTGGATTTACGCAGGCAAGTGGCATCACAGGCTGTCATACAATGGGTATAGCCTATTGTTCGAATGCAAACCAGGTTGCTAGGTTCGTTTAGCTTTCGTGTCAACATCAAATTGATAATGCTGCAGAAGACAACAGTGGAAAAAGAAACCTATGTAAAGTGTTCATAGAAAAGACATATGTGATAGATTCTTTTTCATTTTTGTGTCAAGGACCTAGCTTCTAGCTACCCTTCAGACAATTGAGCCATGATAGACACTACTTGTGCAGCAGGTATAATACAAGCAACAACATTAGTTGTGAAGTATGCGCGATTTAATTGTATTGTCATATTACTAAAACTACAGTTTCATTCAAAAGACTGGATATTTAGAATTTGGCAAGCACTTATCACCTGCTTACTAAACAGTTAATTCCTTTCTTACTGATGACAGCTGTCTTAAATTCATTCAAGGTATCATGGATTTCTTTAGTTAAACTGAAAATCGATCAAGGCTGAATTTGTCAGTCATATTTCATCTCTTTTATTTGTTTATTTCAATTTCGATTCCTTGAGAAACTCAAGATATATGTGACTGAGGAATTTCATGAAATGTACGAAAAATTCCACTTACTAATGCTTGACTCATACCGGAAAATTCACTGAATTTTCTTATAAATGCCAAATGACTGAAACTAAAATTCATATTTTCAAAAGCATTTATGCTAAGGGGGGCAAATACTTATATAAATGCATTACTTTCATGACTGAGACTAACTGATATCAAAAGGTCTGAAGTGTTGTTCAATATCTTATTTCTGCATCAAATTCAGCCGAGTTGTAGCAAATTTTTAACGTTCAACCAATGAATCGGTGGATTTACGCAGGCAAGTGGCATCACAGGCTGTCATACAATGGGTATAGCCTATTGTTCGAATGCAAACCAGGTTGCTAGGTTCGTTTAGCTTTCGTGTCAACATCAAATTGATAATGCTGCAGAAGACAACAGTGGAAAAAGAAACCTATGTAAAGTGTTCATAGAAAAGACATATGTGATAGATTCTTTTTCATTTTTGTGTCAAGGACCTAGCTTCTTATGACAGCCACCTCGAAATGAAGTAATGCAGACCTGTTATAGGAGAATCCGTCAGAATGATAAACAGCCTAAAATGATTTGTACTTATTTAGGGTTTCTTGATTTATCTATTATGAGTAGGTGGAAATATTTATGTTAACTAGTTGGTGACCCCGGCTACTAACTAGGAATGACTAGTATTCGACTGGAAGCAAATACCTTCTTGCCCGCGGGATGAATTAAAATCCATTTTGTCTTGTTTCTTCTATTCAGAGAGTCGCTTTTTAAGAGGTTTTTGGGCAACTCACAGAAGTATCCAAT